ACCCAAGTCACTGATCTGTGGGAATAGATCCCATTTTTACTGACAGCCAGAGCAGGAGATGCCATACAATTCATCAGGAGCCCACTTGAGCTCTTTTGTAAGTTAAAAATCAGCATTGCTAATTTTTTGTTTAATAAGAGTATACTGTGTAAAAGATTAAATATATAAACAAATAAGCTGACATAATCTTTATGCAAGTCACTATAGTCCTAGTTACTTACTTGGTGGTGTGCTGTTTCTCACTTTAATAAATTGGATGGAAACAACTCTGTTAGTGCTAGAAAATAGTAAGCAATCAGGGTCAATGAAGAGTCAGAACTGCCCTGAGACAACAATTTTTTTCATTTCTGTAAGCAAGAGTTGTGTACCTATCTGTACGTTACTGAAGTCTTAGGAAAAAAAACTGACTTTACTAAATTGATAAATCTTTGTCTTAAGTAGAATCAAATTTAACATTGTGTTTTTTTTGTGGTGATGGAAGCTCATTTTCTTAAAATGTTTTGCTCTAGGAGCAGCAGACTTTATCTGTAAAGAGCCATATTGTAAAATTTTTGGACTCTGTGAGCCACATAGTCTGTGAATACTCTGCAGCTTTCTCATTTTGATATGCTAGCAGCCATTGACAGTATACAAACAAATGGATGTGTCTGTGTTCCAATAATACTTTATTAATAATAAGAAGAGGTGGACTGTAATTTGATGACCCTGCTATAAAATCTAAAGACCATTGTTGTTATGATTCTGGAGAAATGTTGGTTCTGGTACCTTAATCCCAAAGGTGACAAGTGGGTAATGTTTATTTGAAATTTCTTGATTGGTTGATTTTTGTTTTCCTTAAATCAGAAGATTTGTTGGACAAAGTTGAGGCAGCTCAGCAAATCAAGACAACCTAATTAAAGTCACTTCATAACGAGTTTTGAGAAATTGAGATCAGTAGAAGCAAGACAATTACAAAGAAAAAGTGATTTAGGTACCTGAGAAGGAAATTTGTTAGTCTACCAGAGGTTTCAAAATATTGGAATGGATGTAGAGAAAAGGCTATACAGTATTATCAAATTGGAATATTAAGAGACTAAAGATGATAGTTATTATATTGTCTAATTTCAGGAAAATAGATTGTGTTATCTCCATGATTCCTTTTAAGAATATGTGTAATTATGGTCCTTTAAATCTAGTTTAGATAATATAATTGATCTGCTTCTTAGGTAATCTGCTCAATCACTTGGATTTTATATATACATCCTAACCTACATACAAATGGAGAAGGCAATGGCACCCCACTCCAGTACTCTTGCCTGGAAAATCCCATGGACAGAGGAGCCTGGTAGGCTGCAGTCCATGGGGTCGCTAAGAGTTGGACATGATTGAGTGGCTTCACTTTCACTTTTCACTTTCAGGCAGTGGAGAAGGCAATGGCAACCCACTCCAGTGTTCTTGCCTAGAGAATCCCAGGGACGGCAGAGCCTGGTGGCCTGCCGTCTGTGGGGTCGCACAGAGTCAGACACGACTGGAGCAACTTAGCAACAGCAGCAGCAGCTACATACAAAAACCCTGTTCTTCCTAATTTCCGTAATACATATAGAGCTCTCTTAGAAGCTGAAGTTCTATAAAAAAAAATTGATTATGTATATAAAAATCCTAATTTTCCCTACACTTATATTTTTAAAAATAGTATCTTTCTTCTGGAATACCTGGTCATCTTCCATTTTTAAAAAGTCAGTAGGAGAAAGCAGGGCTTGATAGTAGATAATGGTGGAATAGAAGTTGCTCACCCAGCCTTACTTTGCCTGTTCTGTGTTCCCTCTTTTGGAAGCACAAAAGCTGTGTACTGGAAATTATATCTTTTAAAAAGGGATATTTTCATAGTTTTTTTTTGAGGGGGGCTGGTAGTAGCGGTTGCCTTGTGTGTTTCTTATAAGCCCAGCCTGCTGTAAGCTACCTTCCTAACAGAATTCCTAGGGGCAGGACATTAATTTAGAAAATTTTCCTCAATGAGACCTTAAAATTCTGCCTTTGCAAATCCTTTACATCCTGTATATGAAATTTGTTCCTTGTTCTTGAAATTAGTGTAGCTTTGGAAGTATAGGAATCAAATTGCAAAATCATTATCTTTTGTGTTGCTGTTCTTTAGTTATCTGCATGTTGAAATGAGGTGAAATTATAAAAATTGAGAAGAACTTTCTGAATGTGTTTGAACAATTTCAAGAGAATTCTCCCTTTATCTGAAAGAAAATAGAAAAGTTTGGAATTTTAGCTTTTTGAGCTTAGTTGTTATTCTTTGCTTAATAGCAGAGTATATATTACAAATATCTATTTATTTGGTTATATATAGTGTTAGCTGGTAGCTAACATCAGTTTTTCCCTTTTGTGTGTGTAATTTTCCAGGAAGACTCAGTGGTCTCTGTCAGATGAACAAAATCTTTTTCCAAAGTTGTGGTGATAGAAAAATCTCTGTGGGATTTTATTTATTCCAGTCAGTGTCTGTACTAGTAATTTTTGTTCACTTAATCTCTAACGCTTCTTTCCTTAAGATCTTCTTCCAAGATCTATAATAGAATTTCTCTGTTTTGTGAATCTCCAAAAAATGAAATTCTATGAATGAAGCCTTAATCTGACTCTTGGTAATTAATTTTTAGTTCCATTCATTTGTATTAAAGTGAAAAGTGAAGTTGCTCAGTCGTGTCCGACTCTTTGTGACCCAGTGGACTGTAGTCTATCAGGCTTCTCTGTCCATAGGATTCTCCAGGCAAGAATACTGGAGAGTTGGAGTAGGAAACGGCAACCCACTCCAATATTCTTGCCTGGAAAATTCCATGGACAGAGAAGCCTGGTGGGCAACAGTTCCTGGGTCACAAAGAGTCGGAGTTCTTTGTGACGTTTGTGGGGTTCCATCACTCTAACCCCAGTTTACTGAATCAGGATCTTTTAATGGCTGGATTTGGGAATATACGTTTCAAACAAGAAAAAAAAAAAAAAAAGAATACTGGAGAGGGTTGCCATTACATAGCTTTTAAAATATTACCTTTGCTTTCTCTTTTGAAAACACATCTTGAATTTTAATTTTTTGGACAGCCTCCAATGGGTGGGCCAGTATTAGAGCTCAAGACTGATAACATGAGCATATAATTTATTAATGGGTTAGGATATAATTACTTAGCTGTTGTTTATGTCCCATGTGAAGAGAAAAAGAAGTGAAAAGCATTGTTTATGAGCTATATAAAAATCTTATGGGTTTCCCCTAGAAAAAGCAAGAAATTAAATATTGTTTCAAATATTTTACTTTGTTCAGCTTGAAGTAATACACATTTTGTAGTTTACATTTCTTTTTTTTACCATAATATATTTTTACTTGGCTTCTTTAGGATGCAGTAAGAAATTTTTCTTTAGGATGCAGTAAGGAAGGAGAAGGGGATGACAGAGGATGATGGTTGGATGGCATCACTGACTTGATGGACATGAGTTTGAGCAAGCTCCGAGAGTTGGTGATGGACAGGGAAGCCTGGTGTGCTGCAATCCCTGGGGTCACAAAGAGTCGAACACTACTGAGTGACTGCTTTGAATTGAATTGATTGAAGAAGTTTTTATAGGAGTTTCTCTTTGTACCTGAGGAGAGAAATATTCATCTTTGTCCAGCTGCTGCTGCTGCTTAGTCGCTTCAGTCGTGTCCAACTCTTTGCGACCCCATAGATGGCAGCCCACCAGGCTCCGCCATCCCTGGGCTTCTCCAGGCAAGAACACTGGAGTGGGTTGCAATTGCCTTCTCCGCCTTTGTCCAACTACTCCATGTCATTTATGTCCAGTGGCTTAACTTCCCAACTTCAGGGTTCACTTGTGACACTTAAAAATTAAATACATTGGATCTAATAAATGGCATTTTGAATATAGGTTAGAGATAAATTATTATAAATTATCTTGAAGTCACATTTTAAACTATTTATTCCCAAGTTTTTGTCTCTGTTTAAAGTCTTAAACATTTATTTTAAAGAAGAATGATGGTTCCTTTGTGAGGATACAAATTTTTTTTCTTGATGTTTTATAAAAAGTGTATAATTTTTGGCATTATTTTCACCATACTTCTTAATTTGTTTCTACCTTGAAGTAATAAAAGCACCTAATAAAATATGCTTTTTACGAGATCTCTCTAAAAAATATGCTTTGATCTTCTCAGGACAATCAAATAGAAAAGCTCAAAGTTCTATTGCTGTGGGAAAGGATGAAAAAGGAGAAGCTACACAGCTCTGACTCTTCATCACAGTTCTCTTACTTCTTTATCTGACTGTCAGCATTCCCTGAAACTTGAAACATTGGATGATTGAAAACTGGGTTCAGTGATGACAAAGGGAAATCTGAGTGTCAAACCAGGACAACCTTAATTATGATTTTCTTTCCTTGACTTAATCTGTTCAGTTTCCAAAACTTGAAATATTTAGATACAAATAAACTTCACCCACTTTTCATGTCATTCCTTCCCCTCCGCATCTCTCTAAGAAATGCAGCAAAACCTTGTGTAATGTAGTCTTTCACTATTAGCTGCACTTTTTAGTACTAGCTCATTTGCTAAAAGGAGAAAATGTAAAAGTTTTTATTTTTATTAACTTTGCTACTACTTCTATGTGACTGTATGTGAGATAGAATTCTTTAGTAAATTTCGAAAGTTGATAATAAACTAAATCTGTCAATAATACTTAATGGTTTGTGTTGTCATTACTTCCATAATATCCTTCCTACAAATTGGGTTTTAGATTAAACATGTTTAGAGTTAAGTTTTGGAGGTTACTGCAAACATAGGGATTTTCTTATTAGTTACCTAAGTGTAAATTTGTAGACCTCTGATTCTGTTTTCATTTTTAAAGCAAAAGATGGTATGGTTACAAGGAAAATAGAAAACCTTCAGGATTCTTAGCTTCTTATCCTAACGCTGAAGTAGAGCCTTTTATTTCAAGTTTATAATTCTTACTCAGATAAGAATGATTATGTTTATGGTTCTTTCTTCCTCCTAGATTCGTCTTCTGGATGTCTAAATGCCTTGGCTCAGCAGGGTGCCATAGATGTTTATGTCAGCCAGCTGGGGAAAGTGGAATTGAAAGTCCATAAAGGTTAGCCAAGTACAGTGTTTTATTTTGACATATGATATTAGGAAGATTTTATATAACATTCAGGAAACAGATGGTCAAATTATCTTATCTACACTGACAGAGATTTCAATAAAATTTTTCTGTGTTAGAACCTGATTTAAAGACTGGAATACTGGCCCTCAACACCAATGATCTTTGAAACTTTTGGAATAGATGGCCATGAAGACTATCTTTTTTTTTTTTGTATTACAAACAAAAATGTTGTAATTTATTGACTGTTATTTTGGAATTTTTCAGTTTAATGTCTGAAATAAATACTCTTTGGAGGGAAAGAGTTCTCATACATTCTTTTGGTAGCTTTCCTGCTCCCTTGTAAGAGGACTTTCTCAGGCCATTATGCTAGAATAATACTTTTGAAGGTATGATCCTGAAATAAACGTGTCACCAAGAAGGTCCTCTAAAGTGATTATTAACTAAGTGTCTTGTAGCAAGGGTCCCCAACCCCTGGGCCACGGACCAGTAGTGGTCCCTGGTCTGTTAGGAACTGGGCTGCACAGCAGGAGGTAAGCAAAAGACCAGTGAGCAAAACTTTATCTCTATTTACAGTCTCTTCCCATCCCTTGTGTTTTGGCCTCATCTCAGGAAAACAAGCTCAGGGCTCCCACTGATTCTGCATTATGATGAGCTGTATAATTATTTCATTATATATCACAATGTCATAGTAATAGAAATAAAGTACACAATAAATGTAATGTACTTGAATCATCCTGAAACACCACCCTCTCTAACCCCAGTCTGTGGAAAATTTGTCTTCCACAAAATCTCTCCTAGTGCCAAAAAGGTTGGGGACTGTTGTGTATCAGACTTATGATGTGTCTGTTTGTGTAATCTTATGTCTAATATAAATAGCTTATTCTAACAGTTCAAGTCTTTCATGAAAAATTATATACTTTTTAATCACCTGAAGGCTGAATATGCAAGTCTTTGTATGCATGCATGCACATAGATGTACACATGCATGGTGATAAATGACTTGGGTACTTGAAATAGCTTGGCTATAGGGGCTTAAGTGATCTGGATTTGGAAAGTTAAGAACCATACCTCTATATAAAAAATTTTTAAGAGAAAATCTGGAAGCTCTTGCATATAGGCCAGAACATGGCTATGTTTATAACAAGGAAAAAAACCTCCATAGAGACCAGTTGTTCCTGTTAGTAATTTCTTTGTCATGTTGGTTTAGTACGTTTTTTGTTCAATGAGGCTCTCTTCTCAGTATCAAAGTAAAACTACAAGCACAAACATGTGAAACTGAAGTTATTGCTGATAGACAAGTATTATTTGATTTCTTAAGATCACATTTTTTCCTTTTAAATAAGATAATATTATGTTCTCACTAAATTTCTAAGAGCTTCAATAATACTATTTAGGATATTTTGTAAATGTCAAAAAAAATTCATATAATTACATTCTTGTATTGTGAAGACCCAAGGAGAAAAACCATTACTATATTTAATGTTACTAGTAACAGAGTAAAAACATAGTTTTGGATAGCTCTTACATGAAAATCATTCACTATTTTGTATGAATGGGAAAAAAAGTAAAAGCAAACAAAAAGCATTGTTAATCTTCGTCCATTTGAAGTATTTTTAACTATTATTTGGATTGTTTTTCCAGTAACTTACTGAAATAGCACATGATATTGCAAGATTTGATTGAAATTACAATTTTATGTTTTCTCCTGTTGGGACCATGATACTGGCAGGAGTGTAAAGATAACTGGAAACAAAGTTTTCTATCTTAATTCAGGTCTCTTAATTCTCACTAGACTTGGCAGCACTAACTTTCTGGAGTGATGAAAAGTTTTCACAATTCTGTTGCTTACTGGTTAGTAAAGACATCTGGAATCCTTTCCAGCTCTGCCACTGTCTTGCTGAAGGGTTTAAGAGCCAGCCACTTGCGTCTCCTCCACTGTCCTTTCGGCCCCTGTAGTCATTTTGCCAAGTGAAAAAAACTGTCACAGTGCTTATTTTCTCTCTTCCTATGAAAGTTAACATGGTGACCTTATGAATTCATTTGAAAAGACTGTGTTTTCAGACCACAAGAATACAGAAAGCCCACTCCAGACACAGCAATCTAAACAAGATGAAAAGGCAGAGAAATACCCAACAGGTAAAGGAACATGAAAAAAGCCCACCAAGTCAAACAAAAGAGGAGGAAATAGGGAATCTACCTGAAAAAGAATTTAGAATAATGATAATAAAAATGATCCAAAATCTTGAAAACAAAATGGAGTTACAAATAAATAGCCTGGAGACAAAGATCGAGAAGATGCAAGAAAGGTTTAACAAGGACCTAGAAGAAATAAAAAAAAGTCAATTAAAAGTTAATAATGAAATAAATGAGATCAAAAACACTCTGGAAGGAACCATGAGTAGAATAACAGAGACAGAAGATAGGATAAGTGAGTTACAAGATAAAATGGTGGAAATAAATGAAGCAGAGAGGAAAAAAGAAAAAAGAATCAAAAGAAATGAGGACAACCTCAGGGACCTCTGGGACAATGTGAAACGCCCCAACATTCGAATCATAGGAGTCCCAGAAGAAGAAGACAAAAAGAAAGGCCATGAGAAGTTACTCGAGGAGATAATAGCTGAAAACTTCCCTAAAATGGGGAAGGAAGTAGCCACCCAAGTCCAAGAAACCCAGAGAGTCCCAAACAGGATAAACCCAAGGCGAAACACCCCAAGACACATATTAATCAAATTAACAAAGATCAAACACAAAGAACAAATATTAAAAGCAGCAAGGGAGAAACAACAAATAACACACAAAGGGATTCCCATAAGGATAACAGCTGATCTATCAATAGAAACCCTTCAGGCCAGAAGGGAATGGCAGGACATACTTAAAGTAATGAAAGAGAATAACCTACAACCTAGATTACTCTGACCAGCAAGGATCTCATTCAGATATGAAGGAGAACTCAAAAGCTTTACAGACAAGCAAAAGCTGAGAGAATTCAGCACCACCAAACCAGCTCTTCAACAAATACTAAAGGATCTTCTCTAGACAGGAAACACAGAAAGGTGGTATAAACGTGAACCCCAAACAACAAAATAAATGGCAACGGGACCATACCTATCAATAATTACCTTAAATGTAAATGGGTTGAATGCCCCAACCAAAAGACAAAGGCTGGCTGAATGGATACAAAAGCAAGACCCCTATATATGCTGTCTACAAGAGACTCACCTCAAAACAAGGGACACATACAGACTAAAAGTGAAGGGCTGGAAAAAAATATTTCATTCAAACGGAGACCAAAAGAAAGCAGGAGTCGCAATACTCATATCAGATAAAATAGACTTTCAAATAAAAGCTGTGAAAAGAGACAAAGATGGACACTACATAATGATCAAAGGATCAATCCAAGAAGAAGATATAACAATTATAAATATATATGCACCCAACATAGGAGCACCGCAATATGTAAGGCAAACACTAACGAGTATGAAAGAGGAAATTAATAGTAACACAATAATAGTAGGAGATTTTAATACCCCACTCACAACTGTGGATAGGTCAACTAAACAGAAAATGAACAAGGAAACACAAACTTTAAAGGACACAATGGACCAGATAGACCTAATTGACATCTATAGGACGTTTCACCCCAAAACAATCAACTTCACCTTTTTCTCAAGTGCACACGGAACCTTCTCCAGAATAGATCACATCCTGGGCCATAAATCTAGTCTTGGTAAATTCAAAAAGATTGAAATCATTCCAGTCATCTTTTCTGACCACAGTGCAGTAAGATTAGATCTCAATTACAGGAAAAAAATTATTAAAAATTCAAACATATGGAGGCTAAACAACAGGCTTCTGAATAACCAAAAAATCATAGAAGAAATCAAAAAAGAAATCAAAATATGCATAGAAATGAATGAAAATGAAAACACAACAACCCAAAACCTATGGGACACTGTAAAAGCAGTGCTAAGGGGAAGATTCATAGCATTACAGGCCTACCTCAAGAAACAAGAAAAAAGTCAAATAAATAACCTAACTCTACACCTAAAGCAACTAGAGAAGGAAGAAATGAAGAAGCCCAGGGTTAGTAGAAGGAAAGAAATCTTAAAAATTAGGGCAGAAATAAATGCAAAAGAAACTAAAGAGACCATAGCAAAAATCAACAAAGCTAAAAGCTGGTTTTTTGAAAAGATAAACAAAATTGACAAACCGTTAGCAAGACTCATTAAGAAACAAAGGGAGAAGAACCAAATTAACAAAATTAGAAATGAAAATGGAGAGATCATAACAGACAACACTGAAATACAAAGGATCATAAGAGACTACTACCAGCAGCTCTATGCCAATAAAATGGACAACTTGGAAGAAATGGGCAAGTTCTTAGAGAAGTATAACTTTCCAAAACTGAACCAGGAAGAAATAGAAGATCTTAACAGACCCATCACAAGCAAGGAAATCGAAACTGTAATCAGAAATCTTCCAGGAAACAAAAGCCCAGGACCAGATGGCTTCACAGCTGAATTCTACCAAAAATTTAGAGAAGAGCTAACACCTATCTTACTGAAACTCTTCCAGAAAATTGCAGAAGAAGGTAAACTTCCAAACTCATTCTATGAGGCCACCATCACCCTAATTCCAAAACCAGACAAAGATGCCACAAAAAAAGAAAACTACAGGCCAATATCACTGATGAACATAGATGCAAAAATCCTTAACAAAATTCTAGCAAACAGAATCCAACAACATATTAAAAAAGTCATACACCATGACCAAGTGGGCTTTATCCCAGGAATGCAAGGATTCTTTAATATCCGCAAATCAATCAATGTAATACACCACATTAACAACTTGAAAGATAAAAACCATATGATTATCTCAATAGATGCAGAAAAAGCCTTTGACAAAATTCAACATCCATTTATGATTAAAACTCTCCAGAAAGCAGGAATAGAAGGAACATACCTCAACATAATAAAAGCTATATATGACAAACCCACAGCAAGCATCACCCTCAATGGTGAAAAATTGAAAGCATTTCCCCTGAAATCAGGAACAAGACAAGGGTGCCCACTCTCACCACTACTATTCAACATAGTTTTGGAAGTTTTGGCCACAGCAATCAGGGCAGAAAAAGAAGTAAAAGGAATCCAGATAGGAAAAGAAGAAGTGAAACTCTCGCTGTTTGCAGATGACATGATCCTCTACATAGAAAACCCTAAAGACTCTACCAGAAAATTACTAGAGCTAATCAACGAATACAGTAAAGTTGCAGGATATAAAATTAACACACAGAAATCTCTTGCATTCCTATACATTAACAATGAGAAAACAGAAAGAGAAATTAAGGAAACGATACCATTCACCATTGCAACAAAAAGAATAAAATACTTAGGAGTATATCTATCTAAAGAAACAAAAGACCTATACATAGAAAACTATAAAACACTGATGAAAGAAATCAAAGAGGACACAAACAGATGGAGAAATATACCGTGTTCATGGATTGGAAGAATCAATATTGTCAAAATGGCTATACTACCCAAAGCAATCTATAGATTCAATGCAATCCCTATCAAACTACCAATGGTATTTTTCACAGAACTAGAACAAATAATTTCACAATTTGTATGGAAATACAAAAAACCTCGAATAGCCAAAGTAACCTTGAGAAAGAAGAATGGAACTGGAGGAATCAATCTGCCTGACTTCAGACTATACTACAAAGCCATAGTCATCAAGACAGTATGGTACTGGCACAAAGACAGAAATATAGATCAATGGAACAGAATAGAAAGCCCAGAGATAAATCCACGAACCTATGGTCACCTTATCTTCGACAAAGGAGGCAAGGATATACAATGGAAAAAAGACAACCTCTTTAACAAGTGGTGCTGGGAAAACTGGTCAACCACCTGTAAAAGAATGAAACTAGAAACACTTTCTAACACCATACACAAAAATAAACTCAAAATGGATTAAAGATCTAAATGTAAGACCAGAAACTATAAAACTCCTAGAGGAGAACATAGGCAAAACACTCTCCGACATAAATCACAGCAGGATCCTCTATGACCCACATCCCAGAATTTTAGAAACAAAAGCAAAAATAAACAAATGGGACCTAATGAAACTTAAAAGCTTTTGCACAACAAAGGAAACTATAAGCAAGGTGAAAAGACAGCCCTCAGATTGGGAGAAAATAATAGCAAATGAAGCAACAGACAAAGGATTAATCTCAAAAATATACAAGCAACTCCGCCAGCTCAATTCCAGAAAAATAAATGACCCAATCAAAAAATGGGCCAAAGAACTAAACAGACATTTCTCCAAGGAAGACATACAGATGGCAAAAAAACACATGAAAAGATGCTCAACATCACTCATTATCAGAGAAATGCAAATCAAAACCACAATGAGGTACCATTACACGCCAGTCAGGATGGCTGCTATCCAAAAGTCTACAAGCAATAAATGCTGGAGAGGGTGTGGAGAAAAGGGAACCCTCTTACACTGTTGGTGGGAATGCAAATTAGTACAGCCACTATGGAAAACAGTGTGGAGATTCCTTAAAAAGCTGGAAATAGAACTGCCATATGACCCAGCAATACCACTTCTAGGCATACACACTGAGGAAACCAGATCTGAAAGAGACACGTGCACCCCAATGTTCATTGCAGCACTGTTTATAATAGCCAGGACATGGAAGCAACCTAGATGCCCATCAGCAGACGAATGGATGAGGAAGCTGTGGTACATATACACCATGGAATATTACTCAGCCATTAAAAAGAATTCATTTGAATCAGTTCTAATGAGATGGATGAAACTGGAGCCCATTATACAGAGCGAAGTAAGCCAGAAAGACAAAGACCATTACAGTGTACTAACACATATATATGGAATTTAGAAAGATGGTAACGATAACCCTATATGCAAAACAGAAAAAGAGACTCGGATGTATAGAACAGACTTGTGGACTCTGTGGGAGAAGGCGAGGGTGGGATGTTTCAAGAGAACAGCATCGAAACATGTATATCTAGGGTGAAACAGGTCACCAGCCCAGGTTGGATGCATGAGACAAGTGCTCGGGCCTGGTGCACTGGGAAGACCCAGAGGGATGGGGTGGAGAGGGAGGTGGGAGGGGGGACCGGGATGGGGAATACATGTAAATCCATGGCTAATTCATTTCAATGTATGACAAAAACCACTGCAATGTTGTAAAGTAATTAGCCTCCAACTAATAAAAATAAATTGGAAAAAAAAAAGAAAAGACTGTGTTTAGGCTTGAGAGTCAGAGTCGCATCTGAGTACTGACTTTTCCACTTAAAATTTTTCCTTGATAAAGCCTTTAATCTTAACCATATAATATCCCTTCAATAAATGATGCTATTATTAGTATTCACTTTTTAATTTTTAGAAAATGGTATTGATGTCAGTAGCCATGAAGCAGCTTTTGAAGTGAAAAGAGGTTGAAGATATAATAGGTGCTGCCCTTTCTAAAGAAGATAGTGTTAGAGATGGAACTTTGGGTAGAGCTTTCAAAAATCATGAGACTTCATCACAGATAGGAATGGAGTTTTGATAGTGATAGTTTTTGTTTTTTAAGGGTGTGGAGAGATAAGGATAGAACTCTTCACATCATTTAACATTTTTAAGACTCCCACAAATTTACAGTCACTTTATTTAAGAACAGAAAAAAAAATATGTTTTTAAAATTATCACATTTGATGTATTTAAAGTTTTAAAACCTTTAGAAAAGGTTTTTAAAATCCATTATTTTCTACATTTTAAAGTATACTTGGTAGAAGAACATGTATCTTCTATTTATCCTGACGTTTTCCTAGTTTGCTTTTATTTTGAGTTTTCCTAAAGCCCTCATAATACGTTTTTATGGGCAGCTCGTATTTAAGTAGCTGACACTGAAACTCTGAAAAGCAACTTGTTTTTTAAATAAGATAAACCAACTGTAGTAATGTGCTTTGTTCTCCCCTTATGAGGAGTAAATGCTAAAGTCCATCAGTTTTAACTCCAGATTTCCAGCTCCCATTAGAAAGGCTGAGAAGATACAGAATTTACTTAGGGAAATGTAAGCTGATGTTAGCCAAACTGGAAAGCACACAGTGACCCATAAACAAAAGCCTTCTAGAAGCAGTCTTTACAGCATTCACAATAGTTGTCATCCTGACCTTCTTTGTGGACAGAGATGAGGCTACCGTTTTATGGGAAGGGCCTCTTATTTATTTGATATGTAAGAAATAGAGGGAAAAACCTCTTGAAACGAGAATATACTGGTAAATTTTCACTGCAGTCCATGTAATTGTTTTGAAAAATGACTCCTCCTTAACAGGTGTTTTGTTGTTTTGGTAAGATTGTAGTAGAAATAAAGTTGAGTGTCTTGCTTCAGGTACCCCCAAAAAAGTCTGTAATCCATTAAAAGAAACATTAGTGAGTTGAAATCTAAATATTCCTTTTTAAATTTTTGTTATTGACCCTCCCCTCCCCCACAAACAAGGTACTACTGAAAGCATAAGAGCTCAGGGTTCTAGTTATGTTATAGTGATCAGTGAGATCACAAGTCTGGTAATACAATGAGGTAGCAGTGTATGAAATACTGCAATGATTAAGAGCACTGGTTTGTTGTCATTGCAATGGATCTTGATTCTAGCAATAGCTGTTGTGGAAACTTGAGCAAGTTCTTACCTGTAAAATTGGGATTACAATAATACCTCATAAAGTTGAGAGGGAAGTTAAAAGATAACGTAATGAAGGTGTCTGGCTCTTAGTAAATGCGCAATTAATGGTAAATTTTGTCTATAAGCTGCATGTCTATTAAACTCACTTTTCTGGTATTGGACAAGCTGACTAAGACTCTTGGCAAAAGAAGAAATAGTAGTTCATGATGGCCTAGTGGCTCATATTCTTGACAAAAGATACTGTGATTGCCTTGGGAATAAGAGATATTGACCACCTGAGAGTGAGGAAAAGGTATTACTATTTAAATCAAATATACTGATGAGTAAAGACAGACTATTGGGAGCAATGCTACTCTTTAAATAATTTTTATAATAGTCTCCAGTACTTTTTATTTCTTTGCATTAAATAAGCTCTCCTTTAAATTTATCACAGGCTCTATTCTTGTCAAGGTTGCATCTTCTCTTCAAGCTTATTTACAGTTATCAGGGAAAGAGATTGATGTGAACTCAGATGTCCATGTTGAAGAAATGAATGAAGCTCATAGAGATGATGGTGTGATAATTACTGGTAAGGAGACTGCATTTTGCTATGTAAGATGAATAGTCATTGTCTATCTATAAGTAGAAATATGCTATTCTTAACTGCAGCTTTAATCTTGATTCTTTCCTGTTGTCACATAGTGATGTTTGACACATTTTTCTTCTAGCTGCTTATCAGTAATACAATTGCAGGCATTTAGTCCTGTCTTTGGATAAAATGGATTTGAAAAACTTTCCTATCAAAGAGATTTCATTTATACATTCACCATCCATATAAATTTGCGTTGCTTCTACCTCTTGGCTACTGTGAATAATGTTGTCATGAACATGAGTGTGCAAACTTAGCCTTTAAAAGGAAGGCAATCTTGTTACATGCTTACATCAGTGCCCCTTGAGGACACGACAGAAGTGAAATAAGCCAGTCACAGAAAGACAAATAATGTCTGATTACGTTTATATGGGATATGTAAAGAATCAAAATAGAGAGAGAGGAAAATGGGGAGTTGTTCAGCAGGTATAAAGTTTCAGTTTTGAAAGATGAAAAAGTTCTTGAGATCTACTGCACAACAATGTGAATATACTTAACACTACTAAACTAGATTTTAAAATAGTTAAAATGATTGTAATTTGATAAAATGACTAATTTTTTATTATAATAAAAAACAATAAAATGGTAAATTTTATTTTCTGTGTCTTTTACTATAACCAAAAATCTCTTTTTTTTTTTCTGACATAGTTGTTTTCTAATTCTTGGTCTTAAAAATCAAATACAGTTGACCCTTGAATAACAGGGAAATTGTGGTCATTGGTCCCCCACCCCAATGCAAAGTCAAAATTCCACCTGTAACTTTTCAGTCAGTTCTCAATGTTAGTGGTTCCACATCTGTAGATTCAACAAACTGTAGATCATGTAGTAATGTCATATGTATTATTTTTTAAAAATCTACGTGTAAGTGGATTCACATAGTTCAAACTTGTGTTCTTCAGTTTGAACTGTAAACACATATATTATATTGTGAGATATGAAGTTGCTGCTACTGAGTCGCTTCAGTCGTGTCCGACTCTGCACGACCCCATAGATGGGAGCCCATCAGGGTCCCCCATCCCTGGGATTCTCCAAGCAAGAACACTAGAGTGGGTTTCCATTTCCTTCTCCAGTGCATGAAAGTGAAAAGTGAAAGTGAAGTTGCTCAGTCGTGTCTGACTCAGCAACCCCATGGACTACAGCCTACCAGGCTCCTCTGTCCATGGGATTTTCCAGGCAAGAGTACTGGAGTGGGGTGCCATTGCCTTCTCCGAAGATATGAAGTTAACTTTGTATAATTGTAATAAATAAATAGGAGTTTGGTGTGGTATTATGCACATTGTAAACTTGATCTTTTAGTTTGACAAATTCTTAATTCTCAAAATGTGTAGTTTTTCCACATTTTTTTTTAATTACCTTTGGCTATACTGATAGTTGATACTACTTCAAAAAATATTTATGGTGTGGATAATACATTTATATAGTAAAAAAAAGTAATCAGTAATGCTGGTGAACGTCTCCTTTACATCTTACTAGAGTGTAATTGAGAAAGACATTGAAATCACCATGAGGTTTTGATAGGTTGTTTCACATTGCTGGTCTCTTAATTTCAAATGTGTTTCCAATATCCTGCATTTGCACTCTCCTCACGGTTGCTGGTTTTGATATCATATTTGTGTGTGAATGATTCCCTGTCTTTATTTTATGTTTGTCTTTATTGGTGAGCTTTCCTATTTGTAATTTGTTTCTAATTGTGGCCTTTTCCACGAAGAGAAGTTCCTTCAGCATTTGTTTCAAAGCTGACCTGGCAGTGCTAAATTCTCTTAACTTTTGCTTGTCTATAAAGCTTTTGATTTCTTCATCAAATCTGAATGAGAGCCCTGCTGGGTAGAGTATTCTTTGTTGTGGGTTTTTCCGCTTTCATCCCTTTAAATGTATCATGGCATTCCCTTCTGGCCTGCCAAGTTTCTGCTGAAAAAATCAGCTGATAACCGTATGAGGGTTCTCTTATATGTTGTTTGTTGCTTTTCTCTTGTTGCTTTTAATATTTTCTCTTTAATTTTTGTCAGTTTGATTAATATGTGTCTCAGTATGTTCTTCCTGGGATTAATCCTGTAATGAACTCTGCACTTCTTGGACTTGAGTGTTTCCTTTCCCGTGTTACAGAAATTCTAAATTATTATCTCTTCAAATATTTTTCCGCCCTTTCTCTCTCTCTTCTCCTTCTGGGACCCTTATAGTGTGAATGTTGGTGCATTTAACATTGTCCCGGAGATCTCTGAGTTTGTCTTTATTTCTTTTCATTCTTTTTTCTCTATTCTGTTCCACAGCAGTGATTTCCACCAGTCTGTCTTCCAACTCACTTACTCTTCTTCTGCCTCATTTGTTCTGCTTTGATTCCTTCTAGTATATTTTTCGTTTCAGTTATTGTATTGTTCATCTCCATTCTTTAAGGCTTCTAGTTCTTTATTAACCATTTCTTGTATCCTCTCAGTCTGTGTGCCACTCATTTTCAGAGATCTTGGACCATCTTTTCTATCATTTCTATCAATTCTTTTTCAGGTAGTTTGCCTATCTCCACTTCACTTAGTTGTTTTTCTATAGTTTTATCTTGTTCCTTCGCCTGGGACATACTTTGCTGCTATCTCATTTTGTCTAACTTTCCATATTTGTGGTTTCTTTTTCCCAGGATGGTAGTTCTTCTTGGTTCTAGTATCTGCATCCTGGGAGGTGAAGTTGGCCTAAGGTCTTGGGCAGGCTTCCTGGTGGATGGAACTGGTGCCTGCCCACTGGTGGGTGGAGTTGGAACTTGTCACTCTGGTGGGCAGGGCCATGTCAAGGAGGGTATTTATAGGCAGCTCTTGGCTCAGGACCAAGAAACTGAGAAGAAATGGAGTAGCCCTCATGGTCAACAAAAGAGTCCAAAATGCAGTACTTGGATGCCATCTCAAAAATGACAGAATGATCTCTGTTTCCAAGGCAAACTGTTACAATATCACAGTAGTCCAAGTCTATGCCCCAACCAGTAATGCTGAAGAAGTTGAAGTTGAACAGTTCTATGAAGACCTCCAAGACCTTATAGAATTAACACCCAAAATAGATGTCATTTACATTATAGGGGACTGGAATGCAAAAAGAAGAAGTCAATAGCTACCTGGAGTAACAGGCAAATTTGGCCTTGGACTACAAAATGAAGCAGGGCAAAGGCTAATAGAGCTTTGCCAAGAAAATGCCCTGGTCATAGCAAACACCCTCTTCCAACAACACAAGAGAAGACTCTACACATGGACAACAAAGATGATCAACACTGAAACAAGATTGATTATATTCTTTGCAGCCAAAGGTGGAGAAGCTCTATACAGTCAGCAAAAACAAGACCAGGAGCTGACTGTGGCTCAGATCATGAACTCCTTATTGCTAAACTCAGACTTAAATTGAAGAAAGAAAGTAGGGAAAACCACTAGACCATTAAGGTATGACCTAAATCAAATCCCTTATGATTATACAGTGGAAATGAGAAATAGATTTAAGGGACTAGATCTGATATACAGAGTGCTTGATGAACTATGGACATAGGTCCATGACGTTGTGGAGGAGACAGGGATCAAGACCATCCCCATGAAAAAGAAATGCAAAAAAGCAAAATGGCTGTCTGAGGAGGCCTTACAATTAGCTGTGAATAGAAGAGAAGCGAAAGGCAAAGGAGAAAAGGAAAGATAAACCCATTTGAATGCAGAGTTCCAAAGAATAGCGAGGAGAGATAAGAAAGCCTTCCTCCGGGATCAACACAAAGAAATAGAGGAAAATAATAGAAGGGAAGGACTAGAGATCTCTTCCGGAGAAGGCAATGTCAACCCACTCCAGTACTCTTGCCTGGAAAATCCCATGGATGAAGGAGCCTGGTAGGCTGCAGTACATGGGGTCGCTAAGAGTTGGACATGATTGAGTGGCTTCACTTTCACTTTTCACTTTCACGCATTGGAAAATGAAATGTCAACTCACTCCAGTGTTCTTGCCTGGAGAATCCCAGGGATGGGGAAGCCTGGTGGGCTTCCATCTATGGGGTCGCACAGAGTAGACACAACTGAAGCGACTTAGCAGCAGCAGCAGCAGCAGAGATCTCTTCAAGAAAATTACAGAAACCAAGGGAACATTTCATGCAAAGATGAGCGCAATAAAGGACAGAAACGGTATGGACCTAACAGAAGCAGAAGATATTAAGAAGAGGTGGCAAGAATACACAGAAGAACTGTACAGAAAAGATTCATGACCCAAATAACCATGATGGTATGATCACTCACCTAGAGCCAGACATCCGGTAATGCAAAGTCAAGTGGGCCTTAGAAAGCATGATTATGAACAAAGCTAGTAGAGGTGATGGAATTCCAATTGAACTAATTAAAATCCTAAAAGATGATGCCCTGAAAGTGCTGCACTCAATATCCCATCAAATCTGGAAAACTCAGCAGTGGCCACAGGACTGGAAAAGGTCACTTTTCATTCCAGTCCCAAAGAAAGGCAATGCCAAAAAATGTTCAAACTACTGCACAATTGCGCTCATCTCACACCCTGGCAAAGTAATGCTCAAAATCCTCCAAGCCAGACTTTAACAGTACGTGAACCATGAACTTCCAGAGGTTCAGCTTAGATTTAGAAAGTAAGGCAGAGAAACCAGAGATCAAATTGCCACCATCCACTAGATCATTGAGAAAGCAAGAGAGTTCCAAAAAACATCTACTTCTGCTTTATCAACTATGGAAAAGCCTTTGACTGTGTGGATCACAACAAACTGTGGAAAATTCTTAAAGAGCTGGGAATACCAGACCACCTGAGAAATCTGTATACAGGTCAAGAGGCAGCAGTTAGAACTGGACGTGGAACAACAGACTGGTTCCAAATTTGGAAAGGAGTACATTGTATATTGTCACCCTGTATATTGTATGTTGTCACCCTGTTTGTTGAACTTCTATGCAGAATACATCATGCGAAATGCCGGGCTGGAT